TTAGTCATAAGGATAAGGCATTAATCGCAATCTTTTGATGGAACGAAAACTTGCGTCTATGATCGTGGCTTTGAGGTTATGACGTTTCTCTCGTGTTGCTTCTGCGTAGAAAACGTGACAATGCTTGGTCCCGACGCAGTAGCTAATCAATTTATCGCTTTTTACGATCTTATGATTACGACTACGACTTTTACGTGCAATGGCCTTTAAGGAGTACCCACGTGATGTTTCCGAACGCAGCCTTACGGTGCATCCAGACTACAGGTAAATAGGTTTGATTTTTCACAGGCTTCAAAGTTATAGTCATAAGAGCATGGCATGGATGTCCGCAGCCAAAAAATAAGGGGACCTTATTCGAGGCCGAATAAGAGTTGCAGCATGGCCGAACTGTAAGAAAGTTCGAGAACGTATCATTTATCGGACTACCGCGAGCTGCTGACATCTAGGTCAGCCTCACGATGCTCCAAAACCGTTATTGGAGCAGGCAGCACTTTCAAACATGCGCATCCTATGGGAGAACGAACGAGGTAATATAATCCGTCGCGGCACGGCTCGCGACACGAGTCGCTCGCAAGAATTACAAGTAACCACTTTCATAAGGTTTACTTGAGCGAACTCTCGTCATTTAGACGAGACGCGAAAGCTATCGTCGTTGTATCGTTTTAAGGATATTCTATACTTTGTTAACCGTAATAAGTTTATTCGGTTGTGTTCGTAGTGAAGAATAAAGTCAGTGATCGGGTTTAAATTATATCGTGACTGTTTATTGCTTCTCTCAGTTATTTCCTTAATACTATTATAGTAATTTCAAAGAATATTTCCTGACAAATCCAGGAGCTGGTAGAATAAATTCTTTCTTCCAAACTCCTTTCATATCCTCTATTAAAATTCAAAAATAAACTCAAGATTTCAAATTAATCTTCTTACAATATGGACATTTCAACGTGCAGACAGACAGCGAGAATAAAGAGAAGAAGCGAGATGGAATATAAGTGCTCTGATTGGTTACATAGGTAACCTCGCTCGCGCATGTGCAGTTCATTTTTATCCATGGTGAAATCGTGAGTTGCGCTACTGTATATACTGTGTTGTAAGTTCGATAGCAGGTAGAAAACAATTAAAACATAAAAGTAGACTTTATGACCTTCCGCGAACAGATGATGAACAGAATATAAATGATTATAATCGCATCATACTTACTGTTTGGGAAGGAAATATGGATATACAATTTATTGGTGACAACACAAGGTTGCTTACGTATTATATTACTAAGTATGTGAATAAAGCAGCAAAATGTGAATTATCTGATTCTGTTCTGAATAGCACAAATAATAAGAACAAATCAGTGGCAAGATATCTTTGGAATATTGCTTTGCGACTCACTAATAATAGAGAATGTGGAGCTCTTGAAGCAGCTGATACATTGTTAAGTATTCCTCTACATGGAACTGATAGAAACACAACTATTAAGTGGTTAGATGTTAATCAGATACGATATAGAAAAGTCAAAAACTATAAAGAAATTCAAGTTCTTGATGGAGATTCTACTGATATATTTTGTCCATCTGTAATAGATAGTCATTATCCAAATAGACCGGAAGAATGAACTTGAAACGATGTCTTTATATGAATTTGTACAGTGGCATAACGAAAATCAAACCAAAAAGTAAAAAAAATTATATATTATAAAATGAGTAATGGTTATTATTTGAAACAGCGACAACGTGAATGTCTTATCAATCACTATATGATATCAATACGCAGAAAATTATTTCTTTTCATTACTTCTTATGTTTAAACCATAGCGGAAAATACAAGACCTTAAAAATGGATATGATACTTATGCAGAATCATTTCACAATGATGAATTATATCTTGAAAAAGCATTGGAGTATTATGAAAAATCAGAGGAATTGAAAAATGCATTGGAAACTGTGAAGCAATTACTTCAACAACATCTTGATGACTTAGAAAAACAGAATATGTCTCAAAATGATCCTGATAATCCAGTAGGTGTACAAAATATTCAAGCTGGTGATACGATGCAAGATTTTAAGGATCTTGGTGACAAACAGGAAATCGATATATCCGAAATGATTTCAAAATTGAATGCGGATCAAAGAAGAGTATTTAATAGAGTCACTAATACCATAACGTCAGGTAAATCACTACTACGATTGTACGTTAATGGAGGAGGAACTGGCAAAAGTTTTTTAATTAAAACAATCAAATGTTGGTTAAAACAAAACCTCAAGAAAGATACTGCCGTAGCAGCACCTACTGGTATAGCAGCGTTTAATATAGACGGTTTGACAGTTCACAGATTATTGCAATTACCCGTTGAGCATGGCCATACTCCTAAGTATAAGCAATTAGCTAATCATGTTTTGAAAGTTTTACGAGCAGATCTTAAAGATGTTAGTCTTATTATAATTGATGAAGTGTCAATGATAACTAATTTAATTCTTATGTATATACACTTACGACTATCTGAAATATACGATACTACTGATTGTGATGATGGTTGGTTCGGTCAAAAGCACATTCTTTTATTTGGAAATCTGCTTCAGTTACCTCCTGTATATGAAGATTCTGTCTTTATACAATTAATAGCTGAGAACATTCGTAAATATCTTGGTTCTTTAAGTGCTACTAATCTATGGACTTTGTTTGATTATGATGAACTGACAATCAATATGCGCCA